AAAATAGTTCCAGGAAATATTCAGCTGACCAAGAACTTTCCAGAAAAAAAAATACATTCAGAAAGGGGGCCACAATGAACAGGTTACCAAGGATTTCTTTCTATATCTATAACATATTTAAAAGTCATGAGTTAGAAGACCCTTGTAATGGGAAAACTTAGAACACTGTACTATTATTAAAATCCTAGGCATACTTATAACAAAGTTTTTATACCCATCTGGCTTTAAACCTATGATTTTAGAGAAAGGGTACCCAACAATGTAAATGTACTTAATGGTACTGAACTGTACACTGAAAAAATGGTTAAAATGTTAAATTTTATGTTTTTTTAAACCATAATTTAAAAACAAAAACAAATCTGGGTGTGGCTGTGCATGCCTGTAATCCCAAACTCGGGAGGCAGAGGCTGAAGGATTGAAAGTTTGAGGCCAGCCTGGGCAACTTAAATAAAGACTGGGAATGTAGCTCAGAGGTCAAGTGCCCCTGGATTCAACAACCAAAAAAAAGGGAAGGAAAGAAATTAAAAAACTGTATTTGATGGATTCTGGAATTCCAAATTTGGTTGCAAATGGTTATCTCCAAATCCAACTAAACTATAACTAAAGCCTCCAGGCTGATAGTTCTTTACAAGGCCTAACGTTGCCTGATTGCAATGCCTGTTGCCACGTGGAGATTTAGTACTTGTCAAAACTACTTCTTCACTTCAGTGAGGTTTGTAAATGGCAGTGCTAGAACCCTAACCATGAGCATGAAGCTCCAGGAGTTAATTAGCACAAGTGTGTACCCATGTTTCTTGTTACAAATGTGTACTTAATACAGCACAGAAGTCGTCAGTACAAATAAAGCCTTGATATGAAGGTAAAAATGAGTACTGTTCCAACTTCAGACAACAGGACTTTCCTTTCTCTTGGAAAAGCACTTTCTCCCTCCACTCTCAGCCACATTTCTGAAGTACAGATTCAATGCCAACAAAAGGTTTTCAACAGCCATCCCCATTTCTTATTACTGACAAGATTTGACACTCATGGGAAATGTGTTTTTGAAAGGGTTCCAATTATAAATTAATTCCATGACTCATGGTAGTCAACTCTTTTCACACAACCCTCACTTAAGTCCTGTGTATCTCAAGCTGGACAACAAACATCTCTACACAATTACTGTCCTATTAAGCATCAAGTGATACATTAAATCTTTAACCACCTTCTCTCTGCCTTTCTCACGCTTTCTATGCTTGAGAGAACAACTGGCTACATAGTGTGCAGACATTGGAAGATGCTGTAACTGTTTTCTTCAATTACTGGCTTTCAAACCTTTTCATAACTGCAACCCACACCATAAGAAGTATATTTTATATGATTACCCAGGTCACAAAAACATACAGACAGACATACAGAGTGGAAACAAAATGCTTTTAATTAACCCCTTATGCCTGCCAGCAAAAATTACACTCTGAGCTCATCAAGTTATGCAATATAGATACATGGCCCTATTAAATATTAGCATTGTATTATGATGATTCTATAATTCTCATGTTAAACTTTCAATGAAAAAAAACTGTCACTTTTTAAAATATGCTTTGAATCTTAAAAATATTCAATAAATAAATATTTAGGAACTTAACATATCTAAAGTCAGGATAATCTGAATGACTATATGCCTAGATATTCTAGGTGTGTGCCAGGTGGGGGAGGAGGGCAGCTAACCAACCTTGAGACACAAACAGCAATTCAACACATGGGCTACATACCAGTCAAATATTTTTAAGTAAATTTTCTATATAAATAAATTGTATTTTGGGTTTGCTTGAATAACCAACACTACTAATAATCTTTCCTTAAAGAAGACTATTTCAATACAAAAGAATGGATAGATGTAATTTTCTGGAAGGAAACTGAAGGAAAAGAACATTTTGCAGAAGTGCCTGTTCTTTTATATTTCTAAATGCTTATGCTGCAATTTTAAAAAGAGAAGAGTTTCTAAAAACCATTATAGAGGTAGGATAATTTATCTTCTATAGGAGTTTCCACTGGCTATTTCTCACTTAGCAAAATAACAAGAGGAACGAGAAAAAGGATGTTAACAATGATCATAAAAACAGTATCAAAAAGAATGACACACAGATGGCAGAAAAAAATTGACTATACTATCTATAAAGGTGGCAAGGTAAAATAGAGTAGCAACTGTTGGGCGCAGTGGCATATGCCTGTAATCCAGTGGCTCAGGAGGCTAAGGCAGGAGGATCTCAAGTTCAGCCTCAGCAACTTAGCAAGACCCTATCTCTAAATAAAACATGAAAAGGGTGGGGGATGTGATTCAGTGGTTAAGTGACCCTGAGTTCAATTCCTGGTACAAAAAAAAAAGTAGTAACCAAGAACTTTTATGTGTCCTTCATTATTAATAATGATGTCTCATAAATGATGCTTTTAAGAGAACCACGAAGGACTGAAAATCAGTCCTTATGCAGAGATTGGCAATAAGGGAGAGCCACTGCAAGCAGAAAAGAGTGGTGCGTGGAGGGGACACCTGTAGCCTAGGGTGCAACCTGGCATTTATTTAGCAACATCTACCAACATACATATGTCCATACATACCCTATGTAATAAACTCATCTAAATTGAAAATATCATTAGTCAAAAAGTGCATTGAATACACCTAATCAATCGAACATCATAGCTTAGCAACACAGCACACTTCAGACTGTTACTTATCCTCCAGCGATCTTGTGACTGATTGAATGCTACAATATTGCTGCCAGCATCACAAGAGAGCTTCATGTTGCATACCACTAGCCCAGGAAAAGAGCAAAATTCAATATTTAAAGTATAGTTTCTGCTAAGAGAGGTTCACTTTCATGGGATCATGAAGTTGAAAAATCTTGAGTCAAAGCATCCTAAATTAGGGACCATCTGTACACTCACAAGCTGAATCAGTAGTATGTACTTACCAAACATTGACATACTGCCTTTTGCCACTCACTGTTCTAGGCACTTTTTTTTACAAATATTTATTATTCATGACTATCTTTTGCAGCATAGAGAGGTCACCTGTCCATGGTCATTCAGTTGGTAAATGGCAATGAACCCCTAGCTGGCTGATTCCAGCATCTGTACCTGGAATCTCTCCACCTGTGTCTTCTCCCCTAGAGAATGATGCCCTTCATTCCTGCCCTTTTTGAAGTTTAAGGTCCCGCCCCCTTCCTTCTGCAAACTGACTTGCATCCCAATACCCTTCCAGCAATTTCAGAGTTCATTTCTCTTGTTTACAATTAAGACCCCTGACTGATTCATCCCAAACCCAAGAGCCTCCACCACATCCAGCTCCAGGAAGGAGTCAGTTACCCAAGGGGCAGGAGCAGAGGGACGTGGGTGCAGGCTGGAGGTGGATAGGGGCATGTGTGTCCTATAAATGAGCCAAGTCCTCAACATACTCGGAGAGAATCAAACAGCTCTTATAAATTTATGAGTGCAAGAAGGAATAGTGGTATTTATTGTTCTTTTCAGTTTCATGACAGTGGGGAGTCTCACATGGTCAGCTACAGAAGTTCACAGCCACTGGAGGCTCCTGGGAAAAGCAGCTATGAGTATCATTAAGACACAATTCCCTGGACCCAAAACACACAGAAATTTAAGAAGTGGGAAAGTCAGAAGTGGACAATGGGAATAAACACCTCCTTTATTTCCAGTCAGCTTCCTGGCTTCCCACACGGCTATCTTCCACCTTATCTTCCCCCACCTCACTCAAGGCTGGCCTTGAGGGCAGCTGGCACTGTGCTTATCCGGCCCTGAAGGGGGAGACCTGGCCTCTGGCAGATGCTGTGTGAGGACAAGGGCAGGGGGTGGGGCATCCACTTCCATCTGCTTGGAGGCCACAAAGCAATACCAACTACAGTGCACGGGGCCGCTAGGATGGCTGCAGACTGCCATCCTGTTCTCCATCCCTGAACCAAAGCACTGAAATTTTAAAACATGTCTCCTAAAAGCCACATAGAAAGCATCTCCTTTCCCTCTCTTTCTCTTGTAGAAGGTAATTTACATAATTAAGATGATTTTTCATACAAACACCACACACACACACACACACACACACACACACACACACACAATCTTGCACATAATTTCTTAAGAGTCTTGGGAATCTAGGAGACTTTCTACATAGAACACAGACCACCTTTGGTCATATTTCTGACAGAGTTAAATTCCTCTCAAGACCAGGAACTGATTTTTTGTGTACCCACTGATTTTCAAAAGCAAATTATTAAGTTCTCGCTTCCTTTTCATCCCAAACTCTGGCATCTCATTCCCAATGCCTCCATCTTAAAAACAAGCCCTGTCTGTCAGCTGGACCACCACCCTATGTGACCTCCAAGACTTCCACCTCTCATCCTGCACACCACCCACCAGACTGATCTGTCTAGAGAAGTGCTTTTGTCAATTGATAATGTCTGCTTAGTCTCTCTCTCTCCACTCTGATGGTGTCTTCCATGTCCACATAACAATCTCACCTTTATTCTATCAAAAAAACATCATGTGTACACCCCTACACACATATTGCATAAAAGTTGTTTCCAAATGTTAATGCAAAGCTCAATAAGGGCCATGTAATACATTTTTAATAAATTAAATTAACTTCATTATAAAATTACTGAATTATAAAGAATAGTGCTTTATTCTAGTGGCATAGGAATAGGTTTTTATGGTTTAGATATTAGGTGTCCCCCAAAAGCTCATTGAGTGAGACAATGCAACATTCAGAAGCTAAATGATTGAGTTATGAGAGCCTTAACCCAATCAGTGATTAATCCCCTGACAGGGATTAACTGAGTGGCAACTGTAGGCTGGTAGGGTATGGCTGGAGAAGGTGGGTCTATGGGGGCGTGCCTTTGGGGTAAATATTTGGTGAGCTGAGCTTAGTCTCTCTCTCAGCTTCCTGATCATCATGTGAGCCACTTTCCTAAGCCACACTCTTCCACCATGATGTTCTGCCTCACCTCAAGCCCCAAGGAATGGAGCCGGCTGTCTATGGACTGAGACTGAAACTGTGAGTCCCCAACTAAACTTTTCCTTCTTAAAATTGTTCTTGTCAGGTCTTTTGGCCACAGCACCAAAAATGCTGACTAAAACAAGGTTATATCCTAGTGGGGGAAGACTGATCTTGAACAATTATGAGCACAGATTGATCTTGAACAATTATGAGCACATTCTCATTTATGTTCAAGGTGGTAGAGGAATCAGACATGGGAAGGAGGTAGATGTTGTAATCTTAAAACAGGGTGGCCAAGGGACCTCACTGAGAGAATAGCCTTTGAACAAAGACCTGTAGCAAGTGAGTGGGTATCTAGAAAAATAGGGCTTAAGATTGAGAAACAGGAGGTGCAAAGGTCCTGAGGAGAGAACATGACAAGATGGTCAAGAAAGCCAGTGAGACCACAGCAGTGTGGAGGACAAGAACACAGCTGAGGAAAAGACTATCACCTTTGTTGACAAAGGACATTCCCTGCAGTGTTAACATACCACGCACATCTATGCTCAACAAAAAAACATGTCAGAATTCTGGACAAGTCACAGTACTGCCTGTGCAACCTCCGTCACCTAACGACGAACTTTGGTTGTTATTCTACACTTGGCTTTGTTCTTCTCATAGAGTACCAGCAAGTTTAATTTTTGAGATCAAAGAACTGTCAGTAGCATAACTGCTCAGTAAAGTATTTTTAGCAAGTCTTCATTAAAACGACACTTGTGTGCTGCATTTCATTTGAACCAGCAGGTCTGTTCCATTACTGACGGTTTGCTCTCATTTCTTTCTTGAGGTCTCAAAGAACAGGTAAGCCTATTTCTTAGAACTATGTCACAAATTACTGGTCTAGATGCTATGCGACATATAAAACAAGTCAGATAACACCCTCACCAAGGCAGCATTGAGCTGAACCTGGTAAACAGACCAACCTCACTTCCGATGTCACCTCCACACTGAGCTTTTCCTCTTGTCCCCAAGCACAGGGAGGTAGATTCTACACCTTGGTGCTCCTGGGGTATTTTGGTTCTATCACAGTAGCCACTGCACCACGTATTTTTGTAATTTATACAACGCTGTAAAAATTACTTGTTACTATCAACATGTTCGCCTCACCCACTTTGAATCTCTGAGGACCAGGGTCAGGCCTTTATTCATTTCTATATTCTCAGCATCTAATGACCAAGGTAGATGTCACTAACATTTATGCTTGTCTTCTTCAAGGGTCTGGGAAGGATGACGCTCCCAGTGTCTTAACTGAGCGAGGCCACGTGACTGGCTTTGACCAATGAAATATGAACAGAAGCAATTTCAGGCAGAGCATTTTAAAGCCTCTGTGCAATTCTCTACTCTTTCTTCACATCCTGCAGTCACTATGAAAAAAGATGTGGACATGGAATTGTCATAAGATAGAAGCAGAGATCACACCTGGAGGACAATTACCCTGGACAGCACTCCCATGCAAAGCTTTCTCTTTGTAAGCAAGAAATAAACTTTTTTGTTATGTTCAGCTACAAAGATTTTTTGTCTCACTGCAGCAAAACCTAGACTATTAGATAGTAGGTGCCCCAAAGAGACTTTAGAAGAAAGAAAGGATATCAGAAAAGGTGGCTGCAGTAGACAGCAGGGTAGTCTGCGACAGACAGGTGCTACATCACAGGATGCTCTCTGCAGTGAAAGGAACAATTAACAAAAACATTAGTCCACTTTACTTGGTCTTAGGGTTAGCCTGGAATTCCCAAAGCTAATTGCTTAAATAGAAAAACCAATGCTTATTACAGTCATTAAGAAATGAAACTGGTTTTGAATTTCACAATTTTACTTCTCACTGGAGCAATAACTTCCTGTGTGTATATCCTTTATCCAAGGCAGAAGTCTCTGTTTAAAACAAGTGGGTTTGAAAATATAATGCTAATTAGCAGTCAGTGCACAGCATTCGATTCCCTAATGCACAACAGTTAGACAGTGGTTCCTCAAGCCCCTGTAGCAGTTCCGCTTCATGGGGATTTGAGAAGTTAAATAGTCTTGGAAAATTTTAAGAAAGAGGTTGGGTTGGGAGAGGGCTTCTGTGAGAGTCTTAATATGCAAAGGTGGCCGCCAGGGATCCAAACTCCTGCGACAGGCATCTAGCACCTTGTCGCCCATGAAACAGAGACCTCAGCCAGGGCCAGGTAAACTGACAGACACAAGAGTGAAGAAATGGAAGGGCCGTGCTGTTAAACAATGAGTGCAACAATAGGGTGTGCTGATTCAGAGAAGAGGCATGGGAGAACAGCCCTCCAGAAAGGCCTTCAGGGAGAACAGGTCGACAGGAATGGCAAAGCCAAAAGAAACCAAACCCAGAGTGAAGAGGGGCTCACCCAAGGGAAGTGAGTAAGGAGGTGAATCGTCAAATGCCAGGAGAAAGCTTCACCAGAGATTTCTCAGGACTGAACCCAGAGCAGGAGACGCTAAGAACAGAAAGGGCTTCCCTCCCAGGTAGGGGGCTGGGGACAATTTTCACTCTAGACTAGAGGTGAAAACAAGCTAGATTAGCAAGAACCATTCTTGCCCCAGGTCTGAGACAGGAATAGGCAGCCTGCATGGCCAGAAGCCCACTACCACCTTTCTCCACACAGAGCTCCTCTCCATACCCCAAGTAGGACAGGGACTCTCCCACCAGGGCTGCTGTGCTAGAACCCTTCTCCTCTTCCCTGCTAACAGGTGATGCTCAAGCACGGCCACTTCGAGGAAGACTTTATCTAGATAAGGCTCCACCCCGTTCCTGGTACCTCTGGGCCCCTCCCCTCTGTGTACCCAGCAGCTTGTCTTCTCTGGGTACCCAGCCATCCAGCTTGACTGGAGAAATGACCAGAAAGAAGGGAAAATGAAGCAGCACCAAAGGATCCACATGCTTTAAGCCTGGATAATGTGATTCATTGTGATTTGTCTCAAATGTGTGAAGTCACACCGTGGACTCCCTCATACACACATCCATGCTGATACATACACAAACAAAAACCCAGAAAGAGGGAGAAAAACGTTCCAGAGTTGATTTTTCCTCTTAGAGAACTCTTATTCAAAAAACAAAACTGTTAACAACAGAAAATGTGTTTGTCTTCAAATGTTCCATTTGTTAAAATGAAGTATCCAGCCTTTACTATCCTAATATTACTCACAAAAGCTGGGAAGTAGTTTCAACCTGGCCTGACATTTCAATCTAAAAGGAACTCACAGACAAATAAAATTGCTAACTGTGATCCTGCTTCATGGCAAGATTAGTATAGGAGATGATCTGGCTGAGTACCAAAATCATGAAGTATGTTTTTTATCTCACTGACACACCCATCACCGGCACCCATGGGCAAAGGATCCAAAGGTGTAATTATTCTATTCAACCGTTTGTTACCTTGTGAATACAGTTTTGGCAGGCATTTCAGAACATGCTCAATATACTGTGACAAAAATTAGCAAGATCAAAGTACCACATCAAGGTTTTAGAACTCCTGTGTACAAGCTGGCAATGCTCAGGTGCCTGAGAAAAAGGCAGCGGCAGAAAAAGAGACCATGCAAAGGCACGCATGAACTGCTTCTCTGATTCTGAACACTACTCTTCTAAGGCTCTGCATAGGAATGACATAGGAATGGAGCTCAGGTCATGTCCTAACACAACCAGCTTCTGACCAGAGGTCCAGAGACCTCTCAGGACCCTCCCTGGGTCTTAGCATCACTTTCAAGGACAGGCCCTTCCTTGCCTCTCCCCCATCTTCCACATGAACTTCAGGTACTTTAGTTTACTTGACTTACTTACTCGGCTTCCTTACCTTGACCACGCCCAATGCCCACTCCATTCCTTAGCTTCTTCACATCCCAACTATACCATCCACCATCACACTGCTCTTACCTGGGATCCTGTATCGGCCAAAAGTTCTCTCAGAAAAGAGCCTATCAGAGATGTGTGGGCAAAGTTCACATACCCTGGGACATGCTACAGCACATGGGGACTTTCACAGCTTATAAAACATTTAACAGGTGGAGGCCAGAGAAACAGGGAGATGGAGCTCCACAGGAGGCTGAAGACGGCCGAAGGAACTGCCCAGTGGGAACTGCTGTTAATAGCTGCTCACTGTCACCACCCACACCCCAGTAAGGAGAAGGACCTCTCTCCTCCTGGCTCCCGCTGACTACACCCAGACCAAAGCTAGAGGAAGAGGGAATCCCAGGGATCAAAGTCCACAGAGGGCAGCCTCCAAGGTGCACACTAGAACAGAGATGAGAAGAGACTGCATGGGATGGACAGAGTGATCAGGACTGTGGCCACAAGTCCTCTATGTTCCAAATGCTCATCATATGGGGGTTTTTTAATTGTTTAAAAACAATAATTTATTGCAATCTTCTCCCTCAGAAACTGTTCAAATTTTCCAGAATCAAAAATGCTACCTTCTACTGGATGAGAAGAGTACAAATTAAACTTCCAGGTTGTCCACTTAAGGCATCTTGTCTTTCTGCTACAAAGTTACAACACAGCACCATCCTGACAGCTGGCTATGTGATCAGAGAGCCCTACTGAGCATCCTCTATGTAACTAGGTGGAAACCGCCTCTGCTTCACAGATGTTGACTACACAGGTGAACAGGATGCAGAGGCAAACAGGAAAGCTCAGTTACTTGCCTCTGAACCCACAAGAGAAAAAAATACATACCTTATTCCAGAGTTATGAACACAGAGAAATAAGAATGTGTGTGAAAGCACTTTGTAAATGAAAGTATTGTATAAACAACAGCAGAGGGAATACCCAATGGCTGATTAGTTGAATTTGCTGAGGATTTTAAAGTTAACCTCATTTAAGATATCAAGGTAGACCAGAATAGGTCTAGGAGGCATTTTTTTCCTTAAGGAGTTATGTGCCAAAAACCATGGGGAAATTCGAATGTTTCAACAGGTGCTGTTTCAAAACTTGAAATAGTAGAGGAAAGAAAATACTGATGCTAACTTGAAGCTAAGAAGTAACTTACTGATGACAAGAAATAGCAACAAGCATCTTCTCCAAAAGGAAAGAAACTACCTGGGAAGGTCTCTGACAGCCACAATGAGGGACTGGCACCAAGTTCTCTTCTGACACTTCTCCCAGAATTCAGTTTATGACCTAATGATTTAACTTTCTAAAAACAGATTTAGAGATATGTTCTTTTCATGTTTTTGATGTGACAGATCTTGATTTAATCAGATTTCTCTTGCATCTTCGAATACTCCCTCTGATAGGACATTATCTTCTTCCCCAACTAAAGTGATGTAGTGAATATTGTCTAAGATGTGACCAAAGTGCTCTGCAGATTGAGTAGACATCTCAATGTAGAAAGAACACCACTCTGACAATGGTCAGAAGAGGCTTGTTGCAAAAAATAAAGATGGATATCCTACCTCACTATTGATTTTCATGATAGAATATAAATATTCCATCTTAGAAACAAGAGACTTAGTTTACTTGACTTACTCTGAGTCACACACCCATTAATTGACAAACTTACAGAGAAATATTCTCTCTACTGTACTACAGATAAATAGTATTTTAACGGATTGAAATAGGCATCAGACTTCTCCTGATCTCCAAAAGTTTTCAATACACATTCTCTTCTCTAATGAAAAAATAAGAGAGAGTACAAAAGATTTCATAGTTATATATAAATCCACAGCACACTATGATGAGTAAAGTATTTTACAGTGTTTGCTCACTGTAGTCAACATGTGGAGAGGTAGAGCAAGCAGAAGAGATAAGCCGCTCACTTCCCTCAATAGCAACATAAGAGTAAAACAAATTTACAGTCAGCACCAAAGGCACAAGTGTTGGGCAATCACAAGTATTTGCATGTTCGGCCCATAACAGCTACAGGCAAATGATTTGACAAGGTCAAATTCAACCGGAGAAAACAACCAATGGGGCTGCAGTGTAAGTTGCTAGACCAGTTAGGGGGAAAAAAATACAGGAAGATAACTAGCTACAATGCAAAAACCCTGGTTTTCAGGACTCCTCAACTTTAGTCAAGACTTGTTTTGCCTAATGAGGAATCCTGAATTATGTTTTCTCTACAGACAACACAAATGGTACAACATGAAAAGGAAAGCATTTTACAAGCAGGAATGTCTCATGAACAAAGCAGATAAAATACAAAAAGGATTAACTGAGTCACAGAAGGGAAGATCTGCCTACTCACCCCACACAAATTACGGTGACTCAAAGGCAAGTCTAAATGTATTGTCCATTTTGTGAAATTTATTGGGAAGTCGAAGTTAAATTTTACTTTAAAACACACACACACACACAACACAACCTGTGAAGAAACCAATAATAAATCACACACACACACTTTAACCTCACAATTTGAGTTTGGTTTCTTCCACCCTCAACATTTCTCTACAGCTCTTCTGCCTTTTATAATAAACATTTAAATTTAATCTCTCCTGAGATTGAAATCATTACCTAAGCCATATCAATGTTCATATAAATTGTTAATAGAGTCTTAATTTGCATTTTTCATACTTCCACAAATTAATAGGGATTTGTTTGAATGCACCATTTAAAACTTTGATATTTCTATGAATTACACAGCTAAATTTTAACAAATGAAAACATGGCTTACTATACTTCTTTTATTCTAAGGCACCAATAATTTTAAGACATACCATTAATTTAATAATACCTTTACAGGGGAGAATAGTACTCCTTTAAATGAACACATCCACTTAAGATGCAGCCCAATTTCCAAAATATTAAAATGAAGAAAAAAGGGGAATATAATCAAGAAAATACATTGATTATTTAGAGAGGGGATACAAAAGACTGTAGATAGATTGAAGCTAGACTTCCTGGGTTCATATTTTAGATTCTCTGCTTCCTTGGTGATCTTAGGCAACTTAGCCTCTCTGCGCAATGAGACAATCTGTCACATGAGGCTGTGTTACTAGGATGAAGTTACTGTTTTAAGGTACTCTGAATGACCCAACAGGATAAATGTTATATAAGGACTTATTAAACAACAATAGCTATCATCATCATCACTACCAACTACCAGGGCTTACTGAAACATTTGCCACATTCAGAGGTGAACATTTTCCAACCCAACAAGCTGATAAAATATTTTAATTCAATAAAATATTTACGACTGAATGAGTTCTCGTGTCAAAATATTATAGTAAGTTTAGATAAACAGTAAAATAATTATATAACCATAGTCTTGCTCTTTAGAAGGCAGGAGAGGGAAGATTTTCAAACCAGGGTGTCTGTGTGGTCCAGGCTTTAGAACACCCACGAGCCACCTGAAATGAGAAGCAAAATTATGTCTGCGTGTGTTTCTGCAGTGCCAACTCCTGACTCCTAAAAATGCCTAGAATAAAAAAAATAGATCCATTCACCTCAGATAATCATACTACATTAAAAGGTAAATATACCAAAGTCTAAACTCATTAAAAATATTAGAATATTCTAAATTATTTCATTTAATTGTAAATGAGTTCAGTGACTTTGACAGGTACACAAACTCTGACTTCCTCTTTTTCTTTTTTCCTTTTTTTTCCCTTTGAGACAAGTTCTCACTCTGTTGTTTTTCTCCAACTCCTGAGCTGAAGAGATCCTCCTGCCTCAGCCTTCCTGGTAGCTGGAAGTATAAGCACAGACCCCTGCACCCAGCTTCAATTTTCTTAAATGTCAAGCATGTTACCATCAGAAACATAAATCCTGGGTCACAAGAAACTCATTCTTCTTCTTCTGGTTTTTTATATAGGCAAGAAAAGCAGCTTGCTTGCTTTATAACTCTCTAAGTAGATAATATAATATGGAGCTGAAAATAAGTGGCCCTGTGATGAGTTGTCCCCAACCTTTGAGCCTCTTGCAGGATGGCTGGTATGGCTGGGAGATGACTGACAGCTGCCCAGCTCAAACAGCTGCCAATACCTGTAGGAAATTAGTGCTGATCCTAGAAGCTACCACTGCAGACACTGGCAAGAAAATGAATCGTGTTTTACACTGAGACTTGAAATGTTCTGTGCATCCATCGTTTCAATATACTACATGTTACTATGATGTCGGAGCCTTAGTGTGGTACTGGGAAAGGCCATGGTCTCTGGAGTCAGGCCATCTTGGGCTCCATTCCCACTCTTTCCTGGGTGGCCACAGCAGTGTTCTCAACCTCTCCATATCATAATTCCCTCATAAGTGAAAATGATTCCTCCTTTTAGGTGATTATGAAGGTTTGAATCTGATAAAAGACCTGCTACAATAGTACCTGTGGACTTTCTCCTCTCCACACCCATTTATGAATGATTGAATATAGCAATATGGGCCACAAAAAGTTAAACTGGTAAGTTGAATTATTTTGAGTTCACATAAAATCTCACAACTTCTTACAAACTACTTCCAAAACACATATCATCACTGGAATTACCAGTATTCCTAACTAGGGTTGTTATGCAATATTGAGTCAAGAATTTGAAAAAAAAAAAAATCACAAGTACTCCAAGTCATCACCAGTGACTTAGCTCCCACCTTTCCATCTATTTTTAGCTACCCAAGTTATGAATTACTGCCAAGCCAATTTAAAAGACAGTACAAGTATGAAACTCAGCCTATTTTGTTATGGTACCAGGACTTAGACACCACCTAAAATATGCAGTGTGTGTTAGAAAATCACTTTTTTTAAAAAATGGAATTTGACATTGCATACAAAAGTAAAAAAGCAAACTATGCCTAGATTTCCATAAATATGCTTATTTCCTAGAATAAGCATTTGGACAGGGAAGGAAAAATTGAAGCTCCAATGTACCTAACACTTATCTACATTGTCTCTATTCCTGGAAAAGCTGACCTGAGATGTATCTCATTATAGAGAAAGAACCAGAGACTCCTGGAGTTCGGGGAATAACTTTTGCAAGACAGAGCGGTGGCAGTGGGCGTCCAACCCAGTCTCCCAGTTATACCATGCTCTTTTCCTCCCATCTAATCTTGTACCCAAAGTCTGTTGGGGTTGGGGGATAGGGAAAACATTTTTAAAAATGAAGAATTAACTTGTCACTGAATTCCTTTGCTAGAATTCGATGAAAGTAAAACAGAATAAATAAATCTACAGTTTGCTTTCCTTCTTTCCAAATACTTAGAGGTGATATCTATAGAGTTTTACAGCCAGCCCTCTACATCTTGCATCTGCAAATTCAACCAACCACGAATCAAAAATACTTGGAGGGAAAAAAAAAAAAAAAACATGTATAGACTCAATACAGTAAAACAACCATTCACCTAGCCTCAACACTGCATTAGTTGTCATAAGTAATATAAAGAAGATTTAAAGTACACAGGATATATGTAGGTTATATGCAAATAGAATGCCATTTTATATAAGGGACTTGAGCATCTGTGAAGATGGGATCCATAGGAAGTCCTAGAACAAATCCTCCTCAGAAACAGAGGAATGACCATACTTTCTCTGTAGCTGTGGTTAACACCTTTATGGCACCCAGGTTCAAACGGGTAGTTGGTCAGCTATCAGAGGTGGCAATGCCAACGTTTCTAAGTTCATCAAGTGTTTCTTGTATCTGATCTGACTACCTTCCCTGGCAGATGCAGGTATCCTTTAATGACACTTATCTTCTCATAGGCTACTATGAGCAGATAAGAAATAGGTAAGCTGGGCCAATTCACAAGGTTTTTGGATTGACCTTGATCAAGGTGAACCTGGGTGATTTTTGCTAATATGACAAACACTATTTTTAATTTTGGTAAATATTAGTGTTATGGTGTGGATATAAAGTTTCCCTCAGAGACTCTTATGTTGAATGCCTGGTCCTTAATACAGCTGTGTTCAGAGGTGGAGATCTAGAAAAATGATTGGGTCATGAGAGCTCTGACCTCATTGGCCACTGGTAAGTGAATGGACTACTGGGAGGTGGTGGAGGCTGTGGGAAGTGGGACCTGTTTGAAGGGAGTGGGGTCCCTGAGGGCATGCCCCTTGGGGCTCTATCTTATCCTCCAGCACCAATCTCTCAGATTCCCAGGTTGCCGCAGTCTGGCTGGGCACAAATTACCAAGCCGCCACATAGCACTTGTATGTTCAAACAGGAAACTTTTTTGCCTGAACTCCAACAGTACTCCATGCACACTCCCCGGGAACTCTCCTGAACGCCACCCACGTGGCCCCCAGGAACACCACACACCCACCGGAACTCCCTCCACTGGGCTGCACACATTCACTCTCAAACCTAGAGAACTCAATGGGAACTCCAAAGTAGCGGGCGCCTGAGGCAGCAAGAGCCACCCTATTACTGGTATAAAGGTCTAATATACAATTGAATCAATCCAGCATCATCTTAATGGCTCACCTCTCAACCATTACTTCTGGCAATGAGAGCCACTAGGCTGTGGCTCTCAACACCAGGTGTCAGGAACTGAGCAGCTTTCTTCTGCAATACCCTTTTGCTATGATGTTCTGCCTCACCTCAGATGCAAAGCAATGAACCAGCTAAACATGGTCTGAAACCTCTGGAACTGTGAGCCAGAATAAATCTTTGCTCCTTTAAGTTGTTTCTCTCAGGTATTTGTCACAGTGAGGAAAAGCTGACAAACACCATTTGTTACCATTCACCTCTAATCACAATGTTTGTCCCCATTCCTCTTGCCCCACACCCAACAGGAGAGCCACAGCCTCTCTGTGTTCCAATGAATGAAAGTTAAAGTCTGGCATCAGGAGCATTCAGTGACCATCTTCACAGTGGTTAGGCAATATTAGCAGGTGCTATAAGGCTGTGGTCGTTTAAAGTAAATAAAACCTTTGCCCTTGGAGCATTTGAGGAAAACTAGACAGTCAATTCAGAGCATGGATTGGGCTCTGTGGAACAAGGCTTCCTGGAATCAAACCTCCCTCCTCCCACCCACACACTCTGTGATCTTGGGCAAGTTATATCTGTGTTTCAGTTTCCACATCTGTAGAATGCAAATATCAGTATCTAACTCACAAGCTTGTAAGAGTTAAATGAAGTTTGTATCAGAATGTGCATGGCACATAATTAAGTGCTATGATGTGTTACCAATAGACTTCAATTTACATACAAAGAATGAACGGAGATGCTTTGCCTGAAAGAGATGTGTTTAAAATGAGTATAAATTGAGTGTACTGGTATAACAACAGGCAGTACATATTTCTCAATCAGCAAAGTCAAGTTTCTGGAAGAGGAGGGTATTTGAGTCTCACCCATAGCACTCCAGTTGGACAGAAGGAAGGGGTCACTTTGTTCCTCTTTGAGAGGAATCACAAGGGAAAGTGACCTTACTTGAAATAAGAGAGCCTCATTCAGAGAGCTGCCAGCTCTTCTGCCCAGTTTCTCCAAGTTGAAAAGCACCTGCCACAGGGCCACTGCCTAGCGGAGGTTGGTTAAGGGGTAGAAGACAGCCACCCTTTCTGAGGTCTAATCCAAAAGCTGACGATCACCCAGAGGACTGTGATGAAGTCAATTTGGCCCAACTGTGAATAACTCTGGCTGCTGTAAATGAAACAGATTTCAAGATGATGAAGACAGTGGTAGAGTCTGCCGAAAACATCACAGCAGCAAAGACCAAAATAAGTCAGGCCAGTATTTTGGCAGTATATATAGAAAGAGAGAATGGTTGTTAACAGCTATTTTATTGGGGGAAGGAGGGGGACACCAGTCTTGGCATTGCCTGAATAGAAGGAATAAAAGAAAAATGAATGAATTAAGGTAAAGGCTTAAGACCAAGAAAGACAGAAATTAGGAACAATGAACCCTTTTCAGTTAAAAAACTATTCATGCTCCTTGGAAAAATGGCTGACTTCGGGTCTGGAGCAGGAAATATACAAGATAAGCCTAGAATATCTCCTGCCAGATAGTTCTCGAAGCCTACTGAGGCTTCATGTAAAAGTTATATAGGACACAAGGACCAACAGAGTACCAAAAAGAACATTTACCACAATGGACTGAAACCAATACATTAAGATCCACAAATTCTTAAAGATACTTAGAAAAGCTAACTAGTTATCACTGGAAGTTGTTAGGGCCACAAATCATTACTCTGCAAATTCATAAAGGGAAAAAGAATCTTTCCCCTGTCTTTCCTGAATAATCTGAATTTCAAGAGATCCAAATACTTTATGAGGAAAAATTCTTTATATACAAAATTCTAATAATAAATGCCAAGGTAGAATGGATTTAGAATTTCACCATTTTGTGCCCCATAATGAAATGGATGTTCCATAACCATCTGTTGAGGCTAAAATCTTAGGTAAAGGGTAGAAATATAAGGAAACACTACTTGGACCCACTGATCAATCTTTTTTTTTTTTAATCTTCTCCCCCAGTACTGGAGATTGAACCTAGGGGCACTCTGCCACTGAGCTACATCCCCAAGTCCTTCCTATCTATCTACCTATCTATCTATCTAGACAAGGTCTCACTAAATTGCTCAGGTTGGCCTTAAACCTGCAATTCTCCTGCCTCAGCTTCCTGAGTCATGAGCACTGCCTTCCCTGGCCCACTAATCAATCTTAATTTCTCAAAAAGAGAGTCATCCAGACATTATGTGTCTCACAATGTGATGCAACAGATTTTACACAGCAACACCCATGAAGGATACTTACTTGTCTTTGAGACTAAGTTCTGATCAACAACCACATTATAGGAAATGTGAAGAACAGAAGAACAAGTTAAATGACACCACAAGTAAACCATCACCTGAGGGAGTGGGACATCACACTAGACAAACCAACCACTCACTCCTGCAAATCAATGGCCTGAAAAAAGAAGGGTGGGGACTATAATAATAGAGCTTAAAAGCCTAACCACAAATGCAACATGAGGACCTCATTGAATTCCTGATGCCAACAATTAATAGTAGAAAAAAACATATTTGAGAAAATTTGAATATGGGAATTATACTAAGGAACTGTTAAAATTCTTAGGTATGAAAAAGGAACAGAAGTTTTTGTTGTTGTTTCACTTTTAAAATATCCTTACTGAAGATGTAAACTGAAAGATTTGTAAGTGAGATGACACTATGTTTATGATTTTGCTTTCAAATATACCAGCTCTCACAAAAAAAAAAAAAAAAGTAGGGAAGGGAGAAATAAATGAAACATGACTGGTAAATGCTAATAACTGTTGAAACTTGAGGATTTATTATGCCCTTCTCTTATATATTCCATTATATAAATTTTTTAAATGATTAACTGGAGATGTAGCTCTGTGACAGAGCATTTGCCAAGCATGTGTGAAGCCCTGGGTTCAATTCCAATTACTCAAAAAAGAAACAAACAAACAAAAAACATTAAAGGTTTTAGTGGGAATTCAAGCTTACTTGCCACTGAGGCTTAAGGGGTGACCTCAATAGGGACCTCCACAAAGCAAAACTTAGTCTTTGGCTCCCTTATCCTAAAGAGATGCAGTGTCTTAACCAATAGGACTGTGAATTCAATAATATTGTAAGTGACTGACCCAAGGAACCAAGCAACTATGCTATATCAACCAAATGACAGCAGTTATTTGGTTGTCCCAGTTAAGAGACAGCCTACAATGCACCAGGGTGGAGCAACACAACCTACAAGAACTGAGTTGATGTCAGAATGTCCAAATTTGTGGAAGCCCAAGGCAGCATGGACAAAAGTCAAACATATTTCAAATTCAGATCTTGATCAATACAAGAGTTAAAAACTTTACTTATGTAATTCACAGAGCTCCTCCTTTACCAATTGTAAAAATGTTCTGTTAACTGGCCCTTGAATTCACTCAGCTGCACTGGAAACAAATCTCTAGCCAACCAGTCTAGAACATATCTTATCTGTTTTTCTCTTTCTTTCAAATCCCTTCTGAAAGTCTGTATCTCCATTTGTGTCTCCCAAAAAATTCTTATGCTGAAGCCCAAATCCCCAATTTGTTGGTATTTGGAGATGGGAACTTTGGAAGTATCTAAGATTAAATTAAGTTGTGAGGGTGAGGCCCTTATGATAGGGTTAGTGGTCTTGTAAGAGGAGAAAAAGAGAGCTGTCTCTCCCTCTGAGTAATCAAAGAAAGGACACAGAAGCATATAGCAAGAAAGTGGCCATGTGCAAGCCAGGAAGA